GGGCCGCGGGGCCTGGGCCAGTGCTGCGGGCCACCGCGGGCCTGGAGGAGTTCGGCCTGACCGCCAGTTAGTTGCCTCCGGCGTCCGACTCCAGGGGTGCCAGAGAAGCTCGGGGCGGCCTTCCCGCCTTCTCCCCTCAGCCCGCGTGGCTCTGCACGCTGCGGGAGCCCGAGGCCCCAGGGCCTGCTCAGGAGGGGCGGCCCCTCCCCTGCCCCACCCCTGGGGGCGTCCCCAGCTCCCCAGGTGCTGGGCGCCAGCCCCAGGCCAAGGGTGGGTCCTCTGAGCTCAGCTGGCCAGGCGCGGCCTCCTGCCCGGAGGAAGGGACGGCTGCGGCCAGCGGCGGTCGGCCTGCCTCGACCTCCCCGTCTCCTGCCCGCTGCTCGACTCGGCGGGGTGTCTGCAAGGCCGGCGCCCGCCCTGTGCTGGTGCCGAGCGAGCCCCGCCAGGGCTGCAGGCAGGGGCCAGGCTGAGGCACCCGCTGGCCGCTGGGCCCGGGGCCGAGAAGCAGGGACTGGGCCTTGGCAGGGGACGAGGCCAGGGAAGAGCGCAGCCGCAAGCACCCAGGAGGGCAGGGCCAGGGCCAGCGGGAGCAGAATGTGGCATTCGCGGCCCCGCTCGTAGCCACAGCACAAGCAAGGTGGGCAGGTGCAGGGTCTCCCAGGGGGAGCGAGCGGGGGGGGGGGCCAAGGGTGTCCCACAGCCCGGGGAAGGCTAAGAGCACAGCATAAGGGGGGGGGAGGTTTGGAGACGGGGGAGCTGAGCCAGCAGGAGCCGGGCGGTGGGGTCCGCGCCCCTGGGGGCGGGGTCTGGGCGAGCTGGGGGCGGGGCGGCCCCACCCTTGCGGGGGCCCACAGGTCTCAGGCCCCCCAGGCACAGCCTGGCCCCTGGCTGACGTGCGAGGCGGGGCCCTCGGGGCCCTCAGGGCAGAGCTGGGCTTCAGCGGGGCTGCGCAGTCCCGAGGGGCCATTTGCCCCTGCGCCCTCTGGGCTCCGCTCCGGCCCTCGGAGGTGCAGGTGCGGGCGGAGGGCGGCTCCCCGGCGGGGCGGGGCGACGCGGCCACCCGCCCTCGTACGGACAGTCCTCGGCACCCCAGCTCACCCCGGGGCTCGGCGGCAGCCCCTTCGGGCTCAGCTCGCCACTGGCCACTCGCTTCATCTGGGGAGAACCCCGCGGGCTTGGAAGAACACTGAGGGGAACGTCTGGGTCGCGCCCACCGTGGAGAGCACCCGGCCCCCAGACACAGTCAGGGCCACACGAAGCAGACTTTATTGAGGTGCGGGCTGCGGGCAGGGTTGCGGCGGCAAAGCGGGCGCTGGGACGGCCAGGGCCGGGGCAGGCCCCCAGTGGTGGCCGGGGACTCGGGCTGAGCCACAGAACCACGCCGGTCTCCCCGAGGCCCCGCTGGGGAGCCCCTGGCTGCGGCCCTGGGCTGAGGGGCAGTGCGGAAGGGCCCCCTCTGTCTCCACAGTCAAGGGTGGGAGGGTCCCTCGTTTTTACTATAAAAATTAAAATCCCTCTGCGAACCGCAGTTACCCCCCAGCACCCCCAGGTCTGACCCAGAACTAAGAGCAGAGGGCGAGAGAGGTCGGGCAGACGCGCGGGCGGCGGGTCCCCAGCGCGGCGCTGCCAGGGGCTACTCCAGGTAGATGTCCTCTGTGGGGCAGGCGTAGTCCAGGTGCTCCTGGTAGTACTCCAGGAAGGCGCGGCTGCGGGGCGGCCCGGCC